TTATCACGTTATGGGGACCAAATGTCCCCACAAGGATAGTAATACTAGTAAATTTTGACCTTGTGGGTAAATTTTTGAGGTCCCCATGAGGAAACAAGCTTATAAATCATACAGAATGAGTTTTTTTGAGAAAGTAAAAATGGACACAGTTTCCTGTGAGGGGTAGGTTTAGGGGTAGGTTTGGTGTAGGGCAATAGAATATACGGTCTGTACAGTAGAAAAACCATTACGCCTATGGAATGTCCCCATAAAACATGGAAACACAACATGTGTGTGTGTGTGTGTGTGTGTATATATATATATATTTCTAGTTTTGCTTTACTGTAAAATCAAAATATGCAGTTGTTACTGTCATGAGTTATTTCTATCTGATCCTTAAAGTGACCAATTAATCTTAGGTTTGTGCATTATTGCAATATATTTTTTTTTTACTTAATTAAAATCAGTTAAATGACTATTATTTCAATTGCACTAATTATAATTATTGGTGATAAGTAAATCAGCTATCATCACATCTTCTCTTGTAACGTCTGTTTTCAAAATTAACACCTTAATTTTCAAGATTCAATTTCAAACAAGTTGATTGAACATCAACAATATGATTATTTTTATTATGATTGTTTGTGGTCTGGATGGATAACAGACCCTGTCTTAAAATATCAGAGGTTTTACCCTGCAGCCTTTTAATGAAATGTATAGAGATTCATCAGAAATGTTGTCAGGACTATATTTTTATATTTACCAGTGCTAGTGGCTGAGGGTTTCTTTTCAGAGATGCTTGTTTGCGGCTGGATTTGATTATATTCCTCTGTAAGTTTGTGTGAAGAGCGCTTGTGATGTCGTCAGATGTGGGTTTAGAGAGAAGCATGTTATTGTCCTGCTGAACAATGAGCTTAAACATCTCCTGATGGCCGTCTGGCTTCAGCTCAATGAAAACACATGCTTCTGCTCACGACACATGAAGCTTTCTGAGAGAAACCAGCAATGCCAACCAAACCAAACCAAACCTCACAAACACCCACACCAAACTCACTCATTCCCACCGGTATAACGTTATTCAGAAAATACATTATTGAGCAGCCACAGAGAGTCATTCACAGAGAGAGGTGCATTACTGCAGACCGCACAAACCCATCTGAAGCGTTCCCACGTTCCCCGTCTGTAGAGTTTCTTCTGTTTATCAGCAGCACGATGACAGATGAGATTCCCACTGAAGCCAGAACAACAGACTGACATAATCATTACTGGAAAACACTCTATTTATAAATCATATGACAAATATGGACATGATTTTTATGATTGCTTTAACTCTATATTGTTATGCATTCTTGTTATCAAGAAGTTTTGGAAGTTTTTTGTCAGTACACATACTGTATGTAAACATGCTTAAATCAAGATACTGGAGATGCAAAATGAAGACATGAAGTCTTGATTTCTGAGAAATTTCCAAAACAGCAACAAACATGTGCTTGGTTTCCTTTTAAGTTTATTTTTATTTATTTTTTGTTATTTGGTTTTGTTTTAAGCACAAACTCAATTTATTTTATATGTTTTTTAGTAAACAAGATCTAATATATTGTCATTTTGCATCTGAAGTAAATGCATATTGATTTATGAATGTTTAGATATTTGTACTGGGAAAAAAAGACAAAAAAAAATACTGAGTAAAAAAAACAGCTTTTGCATTGAAAACCATTTACAGCAAAAATCAGGGAACAATGTATCAATTCTCAACATAATATCAATTCTATATTAATTCTCTAACATAATATTCTATTATCTCTTGATAACAGATGGAAACCGTCTGTAAGCTTCCTGATTCGCTGCTCTTGTCCATTTTTCTATAGCATCTGAGAACGATCTGAACACAGTGCTGCTGTTTTAATCAATATGTTCCTCATGCATTCCATCTCTTTTTGATTTCTTTAAACCCCATAGACCCTTTTCCAGATGGAACAGGTGCACAAATCACAGAGAAACCGGAAAAATCAGACATGAAAACACTCAGATGTCTGAGTCTGTGCATTCATTCACAACTGCAGATGTTTCATGCTGCAGGTCTTATTTTCTGAAACAAGTATCAAAATTAAGCAAATTTTTGCTTAAAACAACAACAGAAAATTTAATTCAGCCAGCAATAATCAACTTTAGATATCAGTTTTTAAACATTTCATTCTTTTCAACAGAATTTAGTTTTCTTTTCATGTGAAAAGCTAAATGAAATGTAAAAAAAAAAAAAAAAAATTCAAATGATTTTAACAGTATTTGCATATCTGCACTGAACACAGAGGATTCTTCTAATCTTTTATTTCTTCTAAGTCTGTGATTTGAGAGTCAGTTCTCAGTCTGGAGGGAGTTAAACACAAAAATTCACACAAAATTCATTAAACACCTATAAAAACGTTTACAGGGCCACAAATGTACTTCTGAAGAATTTACAGAGACGTTACTGGATATTTGTGTGTTAAAGTCACAGCGGGACAGAATGAACTCATCGGCATCAGTCTGTGATCTTCCAGAATTAAACGTATTCTAAAAGAGAGAATTAATTCGTTTCATAATGATAAACAACTTTTTTTCTTCTCTAATGCATGCATTAATTTTCCCTATCACACTAAAATATTAATACTAAATATTAATTCAAAATACATTTTAAATATGTTATATGTTGTAATATATACATAACACATATACAGTATATTATATGTTTGTAAACAGTCAAGCTCAAGAAAATATATTTATTTGAAATTGAAAATATATTTAGTTTCAACTTTCATATGCCAAAATATATTTCAAAATGTATTTCAGAGGCAAGTAAATACATTTCCAATCTTAAAGTACAATTTAGGCTTCATTCATTACTTATTTGAATTCTAATGTGTTAATGTTACAATCACCTGCTGGAAGTGCCCTTGATGGTCACCAGAGGGCACTCCATCCCAGACGGGTGTCATACTCTCACAGACTACATTCCCCATAAACCTTTGCCCGGACTCTTTACTGATCACATTCACCTGTATCTCATCACTGATCTTCCAGAGCCTCGTCACGTCTCAGCTGATCTTCCAGAGCCTCGTCACGTCTCAGCTGATCTTCCAGAGTCTCGTCACATCACAGCTGATCTTCTAGAGCCTCGTCACGTCTCAGCTGATCTTCCAAACCCTCGTCACATCACAGCTGATCTTCCAGAGTCGTCACGTCACAGCTGGTCTTCTAGATCCTCGTCACCTCTCAGCTGATCTTCCAGAGTCTCATCATGTCTCAGCTGATCTTCTAGAGCCTCGTCACATCACAGCTGATCTTCCAGAGTCTCGTCACGTCACAGCTGATCTTCTAGAGCCTCGTCATGTCACAGCTGACCTTCCAGAGTCCCATACCGTAACATCTGCCATCCCAGAGCCACATCCTGTCGAGGTCATGGTACCACAACCCTCCACAGTCCTGTGAATAGAACCTGTTGCTAAGAGTCAGGGACTGGTATTCAGTGTGAAGGACCCCCCACTGGTGACGGTACGAACTGCTGGTATTCTAGGGGTCACTACGCTCCCGAGCCACTCAGACTGTACACTTTCAAGCCTATCGGCCGCTACTCGCCCCAGTTTCCCAGACACAGCGCCTTCAGTCTCTGAGATAGACAATGTACTCTCTGTCCTACCAGTTATGGCTACGGCCATTCTGTGTGTTTGGGCCGCACATATCACCGTAGTTTCTCCAGAGGTTGCAGCCTCCACTGCAGAACCTCCCGAGGTGGTGGCGCCCACTCTAGCCCCCGAATCTGTTCCCGAGTTAAGCCCAGGGAGGGCTTCTGTTCCCAAGTTGAGCCCAGAGAGGGCTTCTGTTCCCGAGTTTGGGCCAGAGATGGCTTTAGTCCCCGAGCCCGCTCCAGTCCAAGAGTCCACTCCAGTTCCCCCTAAGGTGGCAATTTCCATTGCAGCACCTTCCACGGCGGTGATGTCCACTCCAGCTCCTCCCAAGACAGCAGCGGCACTCTTCCCCGAGCTCTCGGTGTGCCCAATCACCTCTGATTCTACCACGGACATTATTTTTGAACTCTCCCTGTTTCCTGATGCCTCTGTTACGGCCGCGAGTGCTGTCTGTGAACACTCATTGCCTATTGAAACTCCTGTTGCTACTGCTGCAGAATCTCTGGATGTGGCACGGTGTTCGCTTCAGCTCCCTTCAAAATAGGGGTGTCCACTTATGAACTCTTTGTCTGTCCTGACAAGGTCACTGAGACCGTCAGTGAATCCCCTGTCATACCCGTCTTGGACTGCCTCTGAATTCACTCAGTGCCTTGTCCGGCCAAGGAGGCCTTTTCTGAACTCTCTGTTTGCCCTGTCCCAGCCAAGGTGGCCATTCTTGCGTTCTCTGTTTGCCCTGCCAGGGCCAATAAGGCCGTTCCCGAACCCTCTGTTTGTCCCATAACGACCAAGAAGGTCGTTTCTGAACCCTTTGACTGTCCACTCACGGCCAAGAATGCCATCTGTAAATCCTCAGTCATGCCTGTCATGGCCGGTGAGACTGTTCATGAACTCCCAGTCCTTCCTGTCATGATCTCC